ATAAATCTTCTTCGAAAGATAGCTATATAATCTATTATCTTCAATCGAAATAATCGTATATTTCATTTTCGAAAATATTATATATATCTTTAACAATTTCAATCATATATTCATATTTATCAATAATATTAGAATTGGCTCGTCATTAACAGAAAATATTTAATTGAGAAATCCATAATAGCACAATTTCAAAGGAGAGAATAGTAATTCTCGAAATCTTAGGAGATTTTTGGTCTCGCGGCTCCCGCATCCAGCCCGATCTTTCCGCCTCATTCATCTCTCTTGGGCTACCTGCGCGGCAGCTCGGGGGGAGCGCGTAAATCTTCATGAACAGACACGGCCATCTTATAATCAAATTCTAAAAGATTCTGGTTCTCCGTCCCGGGTCTACGCGCTCCTCCGAACAGCCGCGCCGACAACTAAAGAGAGACAAATCACACGGATTATATAAGATCGCATGTGAATCCCGAGGAACAATCAATATATAAGACCGCACGTGACCCAAAAACGGCCAGCCTAATAGATTTTGAAAGATTTTTGATCTCCGCCCTAGTTCTATACCAAGCCGCCGCGCAGACAACCGAAGACAGAGAAATGGTTCAACATCTCGAGAGATTTCGGATCGCGCGGTCCCCGCATCCAGCCCGGTCTTTCCGCCTCGTTTGTCTCTCTTAGGCTATCTGCGCGGCGACTCGGGGGATCGCATGAATCCCGTAGATAGATACAGCCAACCTCTGCATTCTAAGAGATTTTGGTTCTCCGTCCCGGTCTATGTGCTCCGCGCCGAGCAGCTGCGCAGACAGCCAAAGAGAGACAAATCACGCGGAAAACCGCTCCGGAAGCAAGGGCCGCGCGACCAAAAATCGGAGATTTTACAGCCCCTAGGGAGCCCTCAGAAGGCATTTTAAAGGTGAGCCGGAAAACCTAGGCCGCGCGCGAGCGAAATGACCGCAAGTGGCCGCGCCGTAATATTGAGGTATTGAAATTGATATCATTCTTCTATATAAACAGAATTATCATAAACTCTCGTTTTCATCGGTCGAGTAGATATCTCCTTATTGATTTTCGATCATCTCAGATAGATATTTCTAGATATCGCATCTTTCATTATCCAAATTAACGAAGGATTCAATCTAAGGCATCTAATATCCATATAAACGAACATTAATCAATCAACGTCCGTCATATCCTCTTCAGCATTTGAGATTTTGATGCGAAAGCGGTGCTCAATATGCAGGAACCTCGCCGCCGATGAACTTGTACCACTCCATTGTCCTCGGCGCTGTGCTGACATGTTGCAACCACTTTCTGATCATATTCAATGGCTCAGCCGTCGTGCTGCATCTTTTTCTCGTGGTCGCTGTCGTCTGGCCCGGCCAATTTCCTTGGGAGTAAGAAGGGCAAGCCAATCAAGCAAGCACTTCTAGATGAAATGCACAGTTCTGAATAAGTCTAGCACCGTCCCTGTGCGTGAAGGTGCTGGCAAAAGGCCTATTTCCAGGTGGGCAACTGATTGCAACTGCACTCAGCATGACCCCATTGCTTGCAGGGCGGTGGCTGACAGTTGCGAACTTCGTGGCAAAATCCTATGGCTGTAAGATGGGCCTGCCATTGCCTGTCACGCATCTCGGCCTTGGGCTTGTTTTTCGTCACTGCAACATGGTGGGCTCGGCTGGCGGGTTGTGACTGAGGTCTTTGCAAACTTCTCTTGCTGATGCTTCGGGTGCTCCAGCTTCGGCAGCTTGATAGGGCTGGCAAACAGCACGAAGCTCGCAAACCCGATTTCACTCATGCATTCACATGTTCGGTTGGGATGGTCCCACTATGTCCCACTTTCAGTTCTCATGCCAGGCGCACTTCGTTGTAATGCTCCGCCTGGCACCCGATGGGAAAACGAATCTACTCTGTTCCCCCCTGTGCCTCTCGCAAATCAAGCCGAAGTCCGCTCTGGCCTCTTCAATGCCTCTTTGACAGTCTGAGGGACAAAGCTGGTCTTTCTGCAGCCTGGCCTCAGGCAAAAGACGGTTGCTTCTGTGTGCTCAAGGCTGGTGAGGCTCAGGCGCCAAAACCCCAAGGAGCGCATGTCCCTGTCAGCCGATGGATAGATATATGGCTGATTGCTCCATATGCGCCAGTGTCAAACAGCTTGGTGCAGCGCGGCTATTATTCCCTGGCTGCCACGGTCTAGTGGCCTTGCTGCCATGCTGGTCATTGACAACTGGCTCCGACGGATTCATTTGCAAAAGGCTCTCATTTTCCTGTGCGCACGCAGAGACTCTGAGTCCTCTCACACCACAAACCGATTCCAATGCCATGCTGCCTTGGTCTCAAAGGCAACTTGCCTAACTGCCGAACTGATACATCTGGCTAGCCATCCGTTTCAAAGTATTTGATGCAATGCGAGGCCCTTGCCAGTTTGCGAAATCCAAGCCCCACGGCCAGGATGCCCATTGACAGGCGGGCCTTCTCTTCATCAACTGCTTGTCGCGGTTCGCGCTTGCAACAAGTCCAGCTTGCCCCACATCAGCCAGCGCCTGCTCATCGACGCGAAGTGCCTCAAAGCTATGTCGAACATGCCTCAAGGCTCATGGCATGGCATGGTCTGAGGAACGGTCAATTGGCAAGCTGCCGGGTTCTTGAACTTCGCCTCCAAGCGTGACTACCTGAGACGACATCTGACGGCATAAACCTCCTGAATTCCCCCGCATTCTTTGAATGGTCCACTGCCAACAACCTCTGAGAGCACAGCCGAGGTGGTGCCTTCGGTGCTCAGGAGGGACAATGCCTGCGAGGCGTAATCTGGCTTGAGCTTCACTTTTCTTACAATCCTTGGCTTTCAGGTCATGATTTCGAGCTAAAACGGTACCCGCTTTTGCGGCAGGCCCTGTTCGAGCGAATTGCTCTAATCCAAGTGTTCATAGGGGCGATCCTAGTCAGTGGCCGTGCCTGAAGTCGCGTGGCAAAATCATCCTCGTTGAAGCCGTAGAGCGGGACGTCTGCCCACAGCGCGACATCTTGGCGCAGCGCACGAGTCTGTTGAACACGAACTTCTCCAGCTGCTGCTTGCTGCGCCTATCTAACGGGTTAGCATGTATCCTCAGTTCACCGCGTGCTCGAACAAGGCCAGGCAGGTTTTGACCTGACCACCCCACAAGGTCCCAACTGCCTGCAACTGTGTCAGTCAAGTAGGAGTGCAACTTGTTTCATATTGTCATGTTTATCTTGAAAGGTCATCGACGGGTATGCTATTATGGAAGAGTAGGTGGCTCTATTCTGCACTGCAGGTCGTGCCATATGCTGACAGGCAAGCTATCTGTGGACCCGGCAGTGGTCTTTGAAGTCCTTGTAAGTACCTGCATTGCTTTGAAGGCAAGCTTTTTGCTTATGCGTATGCGATCCGACATCAGAACTCTACCGTTCACCTTTCGGAGCGACCGAGCAATTTTGGAAAAAAAAAACAACTGTCAAGATGCCACATCACTTTAGAACTCAATTCGCAGCTTGATGTTCGATCAACTGTGGCAACAGGACTCGTAGCATGCGTCTGGCATTATGATGACGAACTGGCAAACCTTCCCAACATTTGTTTGCCTATGCAGGGCTGCAGCTGCATAGGCCGGGTTGAGGTTGGGCTGAGGAAATCCAGAGGCTCCGGCCCATGAAGCGGGCAGCTCGCGCCACGCGATCACCAACGCGACCTTCCTCGGTAGGCCTCTCTGGCAAGCATTTGCTCTTTGCCAGCTGGCACACTCAGCTTTCAAGCAAGCACATGGGCCACACGTTTCTTCTAGTTTGCTAGCAGTTGCCTGAAACTCATGGTCACTTGACCTTTAGTGTAAAGACAAAAAAAGATCAAATCACAAGAGAAGGGCTGCCTCAGCAAGATTCCATATGGCCTTAGCCAACACTGCTTGTCATGATCACCACACAGGAAACAGACCTCACTACAGCAAAGCAACGAAGCCTTAAGGACATACTAAGGCAATGGCTGAGGAGGCCGCCCGTCCTTGTCGGGACGGCAAGCGCCAATGTCGATGTAGACCTACTCACTCTGCAGCTAGACCGGAGCAACTCATTTTCGCGGACAATATCTTACATGGACCATGTCTCTCGGCGATTTGTACTTTGTTGCTTCAGCAATCTGGCATTGCTTGGGCGCATGAAATGCCGACAGCCGATGCTGCTGCTCTTCTCTAGAGCAATGGTGTTTGAATTGCTGGAGCTTTGCCTTTGCAACATGCAGCTTCCCCTTGGCCCCCTGGTCTCCAAGTAGATGCGCACGTCTGCTACACACCAGCAATGATTCTGCTTTCGAGCTGAGGGCCCAGCCACCATGACATTGCGAACCTGTGGACCTGGCTGGCAGTCGTAGCCACGCTGAGGTCGAAAGCAACTGACGGCTTTCTGAGGCCATGGCACCTTTTCAAGACAACGCTCCAGTCCTAAGGTGGGGAAAAATGTGGCCCTGATGTGTCCGGTGTCCGGGCATCTGTGATGAAACTAGACTGTTTTGCACAGTTACTAGGAGCGCATGCTTCAGGATTTCCAGCCTGTCTATCTTCGCTAACGTTGTAGAAGCACTGTGACACTCGGTGAAGCACAACTTGAAGGCAAGAAAAAGTGAGACTAGAAATGTTTGTGAATTGTTGGCAAGTGCTAAGGTCTGCGGCATGCGGCTCTGCAAACGGTGCGATGTTTCCGTCGAGGATGCAGTGCCTCTCTGACAGCTTCAGCTCACTCCAATGAACTTGCCAAACGATCGTAGATGTGATTTGGCATGAAATAGGAGTTAAATAGTGGTTTCGGTGCGCATACTACCCAACATCGTGCTGGGCCCAGCACACCACCAGCTCTGACTGCTTGGGCCTAGGCTTTGCTGCAGCAAAGTCCGCAGCAGCATTGCATAGGCAGCATCAAGTGCATTTGGTCAAAGATTTGGATGACCGGTTTGCTCGGCCGACAGAACAACCTGGAAGATGCAGAACTTTCGAGGGCCGTGCAAATCTAGGTCTGCCAAGGCAACCCCCGCCAACAAAGACAGCGGCAAAGCCTTTGCGATCAGCTTTCGAAACGTAAACTGAAGGGAGGAACCAGTTCCCTTTGCGAACTCTCGGCATCTTGCCTGCTTCTGGTAGAAGGTGGCTTCTCTGCGACCCAGTGAGTCCTTGCATCATGCGCTGCTCCCAACGCTACGCACATGTGGAACATGCGAGTGACCATGCATGTACAAAGCCAAGGCGAGGCACCTTCCAAATCTTGTCCGCAAAATCCACGTCCTTGCGAGGGGACCGCATTATGTACTTGTCCAAACTTTGGCATCAGCCACGAAGCCTCATCCCAGTCTATCTTCTTGGTGCGCCTCTCTTCCAGAACAAACAGGGCAAACTCGTGGGAAGCAGCGATTTGACGAAGGGACTGCTGAGTTTGCAGCAGGTCAAACGGACTCATCATCTGAATCTTTGGAGTGCACCACGCTTCCTCCTGATTTTCAAGGTGATGCTTGTGCATCTGGCAACTGCGCAGCCTTGACTTTCGAAAAGTCACTGGTTCTACAAACTGACAGTGCTGACCACTTCAGCTTTCTGCTTGGCGGAAGGCTTCACCTCTGCTGCCTTAGATGGAAATCTAGGCTGTGTGCTCAGGTTGGATGCTTTTGGCTGTGTGCAAGCCCAGGCGCTTCCCGTGACTGTTCAGCCACGGGTTTCTCTTTGTCAAGCGCAGCGGACCACATCCTCTTCTGCTTGTCATCCTTGCGAAGCAAAGATGGCTGCAAAGGTCAGGCACTGGATGCAAGCGCGCGAGGAGGACCGCTTTTCGCTGCCGCCTCTTCCACTCCTGCAGGAGTTCAGAGGGCAACAGCTTGCATGTATTGCCATGCTCAACGCACATCATGGCACATTGCCTTCGGCTGCAAGGAGGGCATGCAAAATACAAATGTAACACAGCCAGCATGTGGAACGAGTGTTTTGGTGGCAGTGTAACCCTGGGTCTAAGGCCCTTGGCCGGACGGGAGGATGTTGTCGATGTTGGGAACACACAAGATTTCCGTGCCGCAGCCATTTTTTTGTGTGCCAGCTTGATTGCCTTTTACAGTACTTGTGAGGCATGACAGGAACCAAGCGTAGAATAAGAAGAAAAGCTGGAAAGGAGCATAGCCTCTCGCTTTTGGGCCGCCAGCTTTGCGCCTTCCGCACCAAATCTGGAATTCTCACACTGGGTCTTGCGTTCGTAGCCTTCGTCTCCTGTGGCCTGGAGCTTCGAGGCCGCCTGAGACGTGTGATGGCAGCTGCCCAGCTTTGTGCACAGCTACGCTAGCTTGCACATGCACCTCCTCCGCTTCATGCCAGTCACACAGCTCTCCCAAAGCATCGACTTTGCGGTAGAGGGCCTGAAACATCTACCAGCTGCTCGCCCCAAGCTGGTAACTGTCAAACAAAATGGTCCAGGCCTTGACATTATCTGGCTCATCGAATAGCGTCTCATCGCAAAAGCCAACGGCTTGCCGAAACCTCGTGCAGCATTTTGGCACGCAATGCTGGTGTGAAGGCACCTGAATGTGTTGGAACCTTGCACCGCCTGCTTGATATCGTGCTCTTGGGCCATCACTTCTTCAGCCTGATATGAGCGAGGGCCTGAGCTTTTCAATGAATCCATGCCAGACTTAGGCTGCGTAAAGCACTCTCTACCACTCTTTTTCAACCCTTTGGACGTTTACGTCTGCTTGGCCCGGTACAGGGTTCTTACGGCATGTCTTTGTCCGTTTGAACTTGAACACTCACATTCCTAGTTGCGGCCCTTCCAATTCTGCCGCTTAAGTCTGGGCTTGCTGCGAGATTGAGTAGCAGCGCCACTCTCATTTTGAGAACGCGTGAGTCCTCCTTGTCATCCTGCAGTAGCACCAAAAGTTTGCGTCCGCTCCACTTCATGCAGTGCGACTGCGCCGAAGGCCTCCTTTGCTTTTGGCCCTTGAAGAATGCCGAGCCTCCATACGAATGACGCTCAAAAGCAGCTACTCAGCTTCACAGCTTTGAAGTAGCTCTGTGATAAGGTCAGAAATTTCCTGGGCTAATGACAGGCCGCGCGCACCGGCCGGCGGCCTGGTGTAGGTTTACTGAGAACGTAGCCTCATCCTTCTGCTGACTGACTGGGTTGCGAACGGAGGGAGCGAATCCAAAGCTTGTAGCCAGCCTTCGTGCAAAAAGTTGAACTTGCTGTTTGCATTTTTTCAACCACATGCTGCTGTGTCAAGCCATTCAAGTGCAACGGCAGGCAGGTAAGGGTCTGGCAGGTTACCGCCTCGTCCACCTCTCCCCGAGCAAACTTGTCCTTGCCCTGGCCCTTGAGAAGGTCCTCAGCCATTTGCAACAACAAACCAATCTCCATCCCTGCTGTTTTGGTCTCACATTCTGAGCCATGCCACGGCCTGCTCGTAGCCAGGCAGCTCCTCTACATCCTGGAACCACCCGTTGGCACACCCCCCAATTGGCCCCTTCTCCTCATACTGGGCTGTGCTTCTGACACACTTCATGAGCAAACTGTCTGCTTTCACTTCTTCTGAAATTTGGAGGCAGGCGGGCTGCACCAACCTCTGTCAGCAAGCCCCTTCACTGTGCAAGCAGCGTGACAGCGGCAAACAGCCGCAAGGCCCACAATGCCTGTACGCCTGAGACAGCTGGGTCAATGCCAGTGTCTCAAACAACGCCGCCGCTACACATAAATTTGTCTCCCGACCAAAGCGAGACCTGTACAATCCGACATGCAGAATGACCAGAGCTTTCCAGCAAGCCTAAGGCTTCCAACTGAGTGCTCTTCGAATTTTTGCGTGCTGTCTGCACCTGACGACCAGCAGCGCTGCGAACATGTTGCTACTGTTTGGTAGCCAAGCCTCTAAGCCTTTCACCCGAGGGCTGTTACGAGTTCTCCTTAGCTCACGAGGATTTACCCTGTGACTAAGCAGGTTGTGTCCGATTTGCATGCAAGTCTTTGGTTTCACCGAAGCAAGCAAGTTGCTGAAGGATTCAGCCGCCTCGTTCTTTTGAGGCATTGTGGCCAGTGCGTCCAAGAGCTTCAGCAGCTGCGTTGACTCTCCCTGCATTTAAAACTGTTTGCTGAATATATCATATCTTACGATTTATTCTGCATGAAGCTTTCAAGCTTGCAGCTCCATACCACACCGGTAAACTGCATCTGGCACCTGCAGGACTCCTGGTTGATCTGGGTGTACAGTCGCATCAAGATGACGGCAGGCTTGACATGCAGCCCTGCCAGGCAAGACTCTTTGCCAGAAACTATGCCAGCGGCATGACGCCTTGTGCCTAACAATCTTTGACTCTGAATACTTCCTGACCGCCCTCTACAGTACCACAGCAGCACAAAGGGCATTGAATCCGGCAGGAGTTGCAAAAATTGCCACGCCAGCCTGGAAGAGCACTCCTGCAACACAGTAGCTTTGGCTAGATGTGGTTGGAGAAGCTGCTCAAAACCAAAGGTCTTAAAACTGAGAATATGAAGCAGCAATCTGCATGCTTGCGGTGTGCTCAACCATGTTGCCCGCCACATGCAGCCAAGCTTCGAAGCATCTGCGAGAGCGCAGCACTTGGGAGTGCTGGGCCGTCCCCTGCGCGAATGGACGAGGCCGTGCTCCACGGGAAAGTAGTAGGCTAACCACTTCGCGGTTGCCAGCCTCCCCGGCATAGGTCAAGGCCTTTGTCAGTGCATGGGATCTACTCTTTCGGACAGAGTATGACCAGCTCACGTCACAGGTGCTGTCTACGCACTCACGTGTAAAGCATGCTTCATGGCCAAGGAGCAGTTCGACCGTTTGTGTCAACGGCATCGGCATCACATTTGCAGAACACCAGGTACTGCACCAGGCGAGTTTGCCTGCAACGGCTAATCAGCAAGGGGTCAATTTGTTTTGAAGTGGCCATGCCAGCTTGGGATCTGCCAGCACTTGTGCTGCATGAAAGCCAAGTTGCACTTCACAGCGCGGGTTTCCCAAAGCGTAGTAGAAGCAACTCCTGTGAGGACACGCGTACCATTTGCACTTTCCTGGGACAATTCAATGCTGACCGTTCCAAGAATCTTGCTGAATGCATCTTTGGTTTCCAGGTTTGCTTGTCGTCTGCGGATCTTAGTCTGAGGGTGTCCTGCCAGCTGCATCCCTCGCATGCACTGCGGATGGTGTGTGCTCAGCCAGCATCTGGACCGTTCCTAGGAAAGATTTGAAGCAAAATGTGGGCGTGCAGTTTCAGCAGTAACCGTATGTGAAGCCCCACTGCAGGAGCTCAGACTGAGCGAATTTCACTTTGCCATTTGCGGCGCCCTCAATGAATGAGTTCAAGCCGAGAGTCTCAGGTCGTTCAGGCAGGCTACATGCGCTGCATTTCTCCCCATGTTATCAGCATCAAGTGGATTTGCCCTCCATTGTTTCAATAGGAGCCTCAGAATGCTCTCGCTTTCGTCCCTCAGAGTACGCACAATTGTTTGGTGCTTTCCTTCAGCCAATCGCAAAGAAAGCCACTGAGCCAGGTCTCTGTGACCATAAAGCGCAGCGCGCGCCAGCAAAGTCGCTCCGTTACGATCTCTGGTTTCCGGGTCCACGTGTGCTCTTAGGAGAAGCTCCTTAAAACTGACCGCTGCCCAAGCTGGGGCTTTCAAATGACACTTTCAGCCCAAGCTTCGCAGCAAGCCGCATGACCGTTTCCGGCAGTCAAATGCGCACACGCACCACCCAGTTCCGGTGTCAAAGGGCCCTCCACTCCGCGCTGCGGCACGAGCAATCTGGACAGCCTTGTTTCCAAGAGAGCGATCGCCAGCATGGGTTCCAACGAGTGACTACAGCGCATCCAGTGGCCTGGCCTTGCAAAATCCCCTCGTTGACCTTGGCACCGCTCGGCCAGTGCGACATCAACAGCATGTCTGGAGACATTGTAAATTATCCTCTTTCATGCGGCCACGCTGCAAGCCAGCAGGATTTGGTCGGCAAAGGACCAGCTTCTGCTGCGTGCAGGGGTGTTGAATGTCACCTCCTGTCCACAAGGATCCAAAGAGTTTCTTCTGTATCCGTTTGCCCTGAATGTTTGTTCACAAGATTTTATAAACGCTCTTGCATAGACGTGGTCTTCTAGCTCTTCTCCAGATTTTAGAAGGCTCTACGGCCCTCCCAGGGTTGAGCCTACCGGTCCACTCGCGTTCAGTGGTTGGGGCCCCGGAGGGCAGCTGGAGCCCCCCGCTCTACGTGGCTCCCACTTGCTCCCAACACTGCAAATATGGCCAAGGTCAGATTTTCCTTCCTTCTTTCCAAAGCGCTGTGAGGATGCTGAAGCTGCTCTAGTCTCCAATCACTGGGGTACAGCCCGGTCCCAACAGCACAATCACCTTCCGTTGCCTCACCCTCATGTCAAGGGCTATCCAAACAGCGGTGGATGGGCCTGAGCTACATGCCACTGTTCTTGAGTGATTGGGCATCAGACATGATAGCAAGATCTGGAACAACATAAGATTCACCAGAGACTAGAGGTAACAAGTCCGTGGTCTTCCTCTCTCTCACTCTCGCACTTCAGAACAACTTTTCCGTGTCACCACCCACTAGCCACCCTGACTCTTGTAGGTCGTCCAGAGGCTCGACTCACCTAGACCAGGCCTTGGGAGTCAAAATAGGCTGCAAGCGAGGAGACGTAAAGTCCTCCAGCAAGCAGAGCAATTTCCCGGCACATGTCAGTCATGGCCGGCCACGCACCCTGCCTTGGTAACCTCCAGGGTAGGAGAGGAAGACCTGGATCGAGCTGATCTAGTTGGGCTGAAGCTGGTAGCGTCCTGGCAATTTCAATTGTTTTTAAGCCTTCGCAGCGACCAGCCGAGCAGTCCACGTCCAGTGCAAAACTCGTCGCCACATTGCGTGCAGGCAAGGATCCAAGGTTCCCATGCTGCCTGACGCAGTCAGCCTTGTTGCGCTTGTTGAGCGGGTGTCCCAAAAATTGGCCTCAAATGCTGCTGCTAATTTGGGCTTGCTGGAAAAGGAGGAATAGCCGCAACTCATTGATGGCTTCTTAATGTCAGACTTCAAGCTCTAATCACAAAGCCATTGCCATTGCCAAAGTACCGTCATGCCGCCCTTTGTGCTCGATGAGAAGGCAGTCACCGGCGGATCTGCCAAAACAAATTCCACCAAATCGCCTTAGAATTGGGGCAGGCTTAGCTCTGCCAGGAAAAGATCATCTGTAGCGACAACTTGTTCAGGGTTTAGGCACGACAGTATATCTGAACAGCTTCCGAAGTTTCTTCATGTTGAGGCTTAGCCTGATTTACTAGCAAATCCTCCCTCACCTAGAGCATCTTCAACGGCAATGCTTCAGAACTCACTGATTGCACCAACCTAGTCATTCATCTATGTGAGCACAGAAGGTTTCTGGAAGGACCCATTCGTCAGCTTATTTCAACCAAGGATCTCACGCGGACAACATCGGCATCCTCAAAATCTAACCTGACAGAATGTCCGCAACTTCCCTTGGCAATGGATTCCTGTGTCGGTGGGGCTGTCATTAGCAAGCAGTTTGCTACCCAGCAGCATGTGGAACATGCTGGCGAGATCCTTGTCCGGCACATTTCGCGCAGGCACGCGCAACTTCAGGCGCACAACTCTGCGAAGCTGTTCCAAGGTAAGCAAGCCTCGGCTCGACCGAGTGGGGATGCTGCATGGACTGGAGTCACAAGCGTGGCTGGAAAGCAAATTGCGTGCTCAACGTAGTGACATGCCCTACATGTTCAGGCCTGTTCTCTCCACGTCCATTTTTCGGACCAATCCTGAGGCGAGAGCCAAAGACGGCAGCTGCGCATGGTTGATCACTTGCAAGCACGACACGTTCTGCGACACGGTCCGCGTGCCCTGCATAGGCAGCGCATCGGAGCCTGCGACATCTGGGAGTCTTTCAGCCAAAGCATCCTAAAGAGGGCGAGGGATCAAAAACAACCTTGTAGGCATCACAAAACATGCCATAGAAATCATGAAAATAATGAAGGCTGATGATTTCGTCATGAAAATAAAAACAACGCAAAAATCATGAAACATGATAAATCTGATACATGGTGAAACCTGATGAAAAATCATGAACTCTCATGAACATGCAAAATGTTGAAAAATGTGGAAATAGATGAACATGGCGAAAATGTGAAAAAAAAACAATAAACATGATCAATAAACAGGGAAATTGATGAAACATCATGGCGATGAGGAAATATAATGACCTTTGCTTGCATGAATTTGTTTTCTAAACATAACAGCAGCCCCCCCCCCCACCCCACACCCCCCCTGGCCCCCGTTGCAAAACCTGGACGACGATTAGAACATATGCTTTCTTCGGCCGCTTTGATCTGGCAATGTGAGGTGATTAATGCTGAGAAGGAGATGAACATGATCAAGAAGGATAGGCAAGATGGAAAGCATGATTTTTTTTGGAAAATGATTGGAAAGCTATAAAAATGATGAAGCAACTTCGACAAATCATGATAAATCACAAAAATGCCAATAACATCAAGGAATATCGTGAACATAATGATGAGTATGATGAAATTGATGAGAATTCTCAAAGCTGATGAAAAGTGACAAAAAATGATGAGCATTCCTTCCTTCCTTCCTTCCTGCTCTCCTCCCACCAGGGTGTAGGGTCCCAGCCCAAGAATTAAACATCCATATTGGTGTACTTCCTAGGAAATAGGGCATATTTTTTGATGCTTAACAAAGTTCTTTTTTGACGCCTTCAAAGTTTTTATGCTTGTGCAGTTTTTTCATCCCTATCGCTCCTAAAGAATACACTGCTTGCAAAGCATGCAGGTGAGCCATACTCCACAGATGTTTCGGACAACAAACCGCTCAACCATAAGAAGCCCACGCTGTTGCAAACACAGTGCACTGCCATGCATCTTCGTGCGGCTGCTCTCCGTGTTGTATTACAAATCTTTTTGCCGGAGCTCTGTGTGCACGTTTCACCGCCTGAGTGTTTTACAATACAGAATGAGATGGTCCTGGAACCCATGACTCTACAAGAGTGAAGGAGCTGCGCTCGATGCGGTTTGAAGCAAGTCCTTGCCTCGTCCGAATGTTCTCCACATCCCAGGCTGGAAGGTATTGACGCCTTGGCTTCACGGAGCAGCTCCAACGATTTGAGCACATTTGAAGCCACTCTGCGCTTGCTACGCTTCCAAGCTACGCTTCCAACTTGCTTGCCCCTGTCATGCTAGGCTTTGCCATGCAGGCGAGTCTCCTCCTCCACCAGGGGCGTGCTGCCAGCGGACAGCTTGGAGGTATAGCTTGCTTGGCTGTACTCCGCCTGCCCGCGTGGCTTGACATGGATGCTTTTTGAACTGTTTCGGTTTTCTCAAGGCATAGGCCAGCAGTTGAAAAACCTCGGAGAAGGCGAGGACGAGGCTTCACGGCGGCCGGGCGACGACTCCGAGCGGTGCGTGTAGCGCCGCCAGTTTGGTGAAGGCGGCTGGGTCCTTGGTTTTGCATTTCCAGCCGAGCGCCGTGCACTCATGCTGCGAGAAAATGCCAAGGAAGCTTCTCAGCAGCTTCCGGCCGCAAAGCTTCCCATGTCAAACCCAGTGTGGGCATCAGCGAAGGGCTCAGCCGTTGTGCTTTGGAAGCCACTATGTCACACTACCAGGGCCTGTCTTGAAGCCAGTTTCGCTCCGGCATGTTGAGAGTTCGGGGCATTTTCTCCTGAATGGCATGTTGTACGAAGTTTTGCAATCTTCAGTTTTGACGGCTTGCTGCAGCGGCTAGCGGCTCTGGCAAACAGGCAGCTTGTGCAAAATCATTTGCCGCTGAGCCAGGCCGAGTCCAGGTCCCACGATAGCTGCACAAGGTCAGTACAGTGAACGGACAGTCTCGATTACGTGTACCGGACCTTCCCTGCTGATAACTGGAGTAATCAGTGGCTGTGATTTAGCAGGAAATAAGCCAGGGGCCTTTGGCTCTTCTCCATCTTTGTCAGCTGTCGAACTGACTGCACCCTAGCCAAGGCAGCTGCTTATTTAGAAACATAAAAACAAGAACTCAGGCAAATAGCCTGGCCTTCTCCGGTTCAGGGTGCGCTTCCTCAGAATGCCTAGCAGCAATATAGGCAGGGCAGCCCTCATTTATGGAGATGTGAATGAGGCCTCTCTTCCTGCACAGAAGCCTCAGCCTCAGTTGACAACGACACTCCATTTTTACTGCACGGCTCACATCACGAAGTTGCACAATGAATTGCAGGAGTGCTTTTTTTCTCGCTCGGCGCAAATGTTGTCAGATGCCAGGGATTGCGTCCTCAGAACTTGGGGGCTAGAGATTCACACTGCAGGGAGCTAGTTCACATGCCAAGCATGCTGGAGACTGAATTGTGATGCTTCCTTCATAATGGCGTGCCAAGCAATGAGCTCACTCAATTCAGTTGCGAACTTTAGCTCATGCTTCTTCTGTAGCACACGCCAAGCAAGGTGGATGACGAAGATTTACCTTCAACTTTAAACTAAAAAAAGCTGTATACGAACTGCAGGCTGAAGGCCCATGCAGCTTGCTGCTGGTCTCTGGTTTTTGGGGCTGCCTTGACCACTGTCTTTGGCCTGAGGTGCAGACTCAAGAGTTTGAGGACGGAATTAAGGAGTTGGCTTCTGTTACTGTGTTACATCGTGTTACGTTTTGACTTAACAAGTTGCTGAGAGCGCGCCGGTGAAGACTTTGCAGAGCTGGTGGGGCTGGATTCAACAGCTCGGCCGTATATGTCACACCATCCAGTCCCAGGAATGTAGAAGATGTCCTGCGCCAACACAGCCAGAAAACACGACATGAGCATCTTTGCAAGACCGCAGCCTGCTCTTCATAGCCTTTGGGACGTGGAGGCACTTCGGTTTCCGCAGCTGGTAAGGTTGCAGGCCTTAGGTTCAGTTTCTTTGCAAGGTTCCTGGAGTTCAAACCAGGGCGAGGGTTCCAGTGCAGTCAAAGCTCTGCACTTTGGCCTCCTGCAGTAAGCCCTTCGCTCTCAAGGCAGCAATTCTCGTTGCTTCTGCGGGTGTCAAATGCGCAGTCGGAGCCTTAGTGGGAGCCTTAGGCTTGGCTTAGTCCATGGAGTCGAATTGCCAAGACAGCCTGAAATCTACAGCTGTGAAACCACTTCTGGAGGCTGCGCAGCCGCCAGTGTTACTCGAAGCTCAGGTGGCTCCTCTTCATCTGGCATCTCTGTGTAGGGTGGAGCCTGTCGCCCAGTGCAAAATATGTACCATGCCGAACAGACAAAAACCACGCCTTGAAAACTGAGTTTAAGCTGGGCATGATCACAGAAGCCGCACGGAAGCTCTGAGTGGTCAAGGTCTCTTGATCTTTGGTCCAGCTGCTGCTGGAGCACCCACTAGCAGGCTTTTTGCAATCTTTATTTCGCAAAACTCCGGATTGAATCCTTCAACTGAATCGAGAAGCACTGTATGGTCGAATCTGCACGCCCTCAGAACCACAGACATTTCTTGACAAGTTTTGGCCAGTTCCTTGCAAGCCACTTTCCTGGCGCTGGAATCGTTACGACGCGTTTGCTTTGCGCACTGTTTGCTAATGAGTAACGCGATGATGAGACCTTGGTTCACTTCTGCAACGCATCCGAGGACAGTTTCCAAAATCTCCGGCCTGGACATCTTCGTCAGGTGCCACTTGTGTGGCTTGCGGTTGTGTAGCTGCTGTCCGCGTCATCGGCTGAAATCCTTCCTCGGCACGCACGGTGCCACAAGCATCAAGTGCATCTAGACGTCGCTGCAAAAATCTGAATATCGGGTGCCTATATGTTATATGCAGCCAGCAACACTGCCTCAGACTCAGGAAAGTCCCTGCCTTGAGAATGCCTCATGAACCCTAGATTGCAAACCCAGCTGGGCCTGTGTGTCAAAACTGGGCATCTCATAACAACTTCTGAATCTGAAATTGAGCCAATTTACGAGAAATTTATGCATAAAGCGCCGTGTGGGGTCAGGCCTTCATTATGGATCGCTCAAAGCGAAAACTTGATTGCAACAAGGCTCAGTTGAATGGGTCCTGTCGGGTAAACATAGATTGATAAGGCGCACGGACTCAGGTGCACGCGGGCAGTTAGCTGTTACAACCAACTTGCAGACCTTCACAAGAACGGGCACGCTCGCGTGCTGTTGCACCCATTGTCAGGAAGCCATATCTTCGATCGCAGTCTAAGGAACGATTGAATCACAGCACATTGCATGTCAGAATCTACAGTACAGGTCTACATCCAGCAAAGGAAATGTTGCTCATCAACTTCGATCCTGATGTATCCTAATACAAACACAAACGACACAAAGCAAAGACACAACAACACGAGGAACGACACAAAGGCATCACTCAAAGACAACACACGGGCACTGACAGGCCAGGGGGGGCCTGAGGTTCAAACGCGAGTGCAATTATAAGATGCAACTCCGTACCTATGATGACATGCGGATAGCACCTTTGTGTAGCAGATTTCAAATGCGCCGCAACACTTGCCAACGCTTCGAGGAACCTAGAAACACCACATCCACTCACCGATCCCCCAACCTCCAACACTGAAAGTGGGAACTCCCTTGTTAGTCCCTCGACAACTAGATCATTCAGTCCTTGGCTGGAATAGTGGGCAATCTAATGTTTCAGGGGCCCAGTCTGCCACAAGCCTCATGTATTGGGCTTGTGATCCATATCTCTAGCATCAATCAAGTGTCTGGACTGGGTGTAGGCGGACGGTCATCAAAGCTGACGGGTGCCTGGCACGTCAAGCAAGCATTGTTCCAACGCACAGGTAGGCTTGAATGCAGTCGAGCTGCCTCTGGGAAATCGCCTTCTTGGGCAACAGTCAAAGGCTTGCTCTTCTACACTTGTGCTGCGCGCATTTTAGAACAGGAATGCTAGTGCCATACCGACTGTCAAGGGCTTCAAGCTGCACCACAAACATGGATTTGCCACTGCCTTCTGCTGCTCCTCTTCCAGAATCTGGCGTGTCCGGACGGGATGCTGGTCGCACCTCATTGAACCGGCAGAGATAGCAGAAGTGCTTCCTATGGGCACTAGTTGGACTCTGACAGTAGTTTGAAAGCTTGTGAGCTTGAACAGGGTTTCCAGACTTGGGTCGAGATTTTTGTGTACACCCGATCTGGGTCTCTGACATGTTCTGCTCTATGGTTGCCGCGCAATGCTGCTGCACTCGGGGCCTGTCAACAATGCCAGTGGCAATTGCCAAGCCAAGCACTTGAAAGATTCTGAGCAGCGGAGATTGAACTCGTTGCTTCTGCAACTTCATTTCCGGCGGATTGCCTCACCGAGGAACTCCAGGAGTGCGGAGGGAACAGCCTGCTGCTCTGCGGAGTCTCCTGCTCTGATCAGCACAGGCTCAGACCTTGACATACCAGTGCATATGCAAAGAGAGAGAGAGAGAGAGAGAGGGGTTGGCCCTACAGTACCTGATGAATGTGCACAGACCATGTGCTGCCGAAGGCACGCTTTCGTGCTGCTGCTCTGCGGCAAGCTCCGCTCCTGTGCCAGGCCCCTGCGCATGCACCATGCCACATCTGATGTAACTTCACACAGCTGTTCTTCGTGGCGTATAGTCGCTAGTTGGAATCGGCCTGACTAGCTGCGCGATATCGTCATCGGATGCTTTATCGGAAGCAGCGACGATGTCAACCAACAAAGGCGGGGAACACTCTATGTTGACAGTCAGGAAGTCGCACACAGCTCCCTCATCTGGCAAAGGAGAATTGGCCGCGATTCGGAAAGCCAAGGTCCTGGGTTCTGGGGACTCAGGACCTGAACCGGTTCAAATTGTTGCAAGTCTGCGCTTGCCCCGTAAGCACGCGACGCTCCAGCTTCCAGCACGAAGCTTTTCCCCACGTGCTCAGACCCGACCGAAATCTGGAACGGTGGCCCTGGCGGCTCTATCCGCACCGGTAGTTCTCCTCACAGTCTGCTACACTGGGCATAGCCACTTGTGCAACTTGGGGTCTGCTGTCCAGTAACGCTGTAACGCCTTTCAAGTTCATGACTTGATTGCAAGCTAACTGTTTGCATGAAGGAAAGGGACCCCCCCCCCTCTGAAGGACCCCCCCCTTGCCCCACCCCCCCCCCCAAGCTGCACCATGTTGTCCTGTCGAAATATTTCGAAGGAGGAGGTTCCGTGTGGTTGCGCTGCCAGAGTTGAAGCGAATATGCTTTGGCACAGGGTCAAGAAGATGATGGGCCATCGGCGTTTCTGACGCTCTAGTCCATTCCTACGCAAGTCCTGTGAGGAGACACTTATTTCCGACATGTACCCTGAGAGCACCACCATACGCTGTATGTCAGTCGTCCTTATTTCTTGCATCAAACTCTCAATTCTGAAGTTCATTCTGGGGCTGGGAGCCGTGGCCTACTGGTATATGTTGACTGGCTGGCTTCTGAAATGTTCGATGACAGGTAGGGACATGACCACCGCTGACTGCCGTTCATAGCTTGTCAGCACTTCCAACGTCCAAAAATGTAGGCTTTAGCTTAGCTTTCAAACGCTAACATGTAATGCTATGCTATGCTTCAAACATATTTATACGAATTTTCAATGACCGGTATGGCAGCGACCCGTGCATCAACACATCTTTGACAACAACAGGAAGCAAGTGCATGTTGATGTCCTGTCTCATAGTTCCAGCCGTCAATGCACATGCTGCAAGTGGACAAATGCCTTTGTTCGAAACGCCCTGTACAGCATGTGCCAGCGTCCTGAAAGCAAAAAAGCCAAACGACAGCTGCCAGCTTTTGCTGGCAGAGTCGTGGCATCGCATTAGCGAGTGGCTTGGAAAAAGGATAAAGACAATTTGCCCAATCAGTATTCACAACCGCAATTTGGTCTCACAACTCTTGTAATCGGTGACTTTGTTGGTTTGCCAGGCGTGAGTTGCAACGGCCTGCAGCATGTCCTGCTGGAGAGAAGCCATATCTGAAAGCTCCTTCCGGATCTTGGCCGTTTGGGTTCGCAAAGCAAACAAGTCTACTGCTTTGGCAGGGCCCCTCAGCTTGGCGCAACCGTCCAAAAACTCTTCCACCTCAATTTGGTGGTCTTCGTTGTAGTCCAGGCTTTGAAAAAGAGTCCATCCATCGTGAGCCCCCAGGTCAAGCGCTTCAAACACGGCGCGCACTTCTTCATCTTGATAATATGCTTCGAACTTTGCGATGTCAAGCTTCCCACTGCCATCAAAGTCCATCTTTTTGAATAATTTTGACAGCAAGGCGTGCAAATGCTGTTTGTCCATCATGAGTGATTGTACCGCCAGCTCGGCGTCTCTCTCTGCACCGCGTATGGCCGCGTGGCAGAAAACCTCACAATGGACAACAGGTTCTGTAATATTAATCACGAACTAAGGCAATCCAGAAAATTCTTCTGCGGGCTGGGTAAGCAACTCCGGTCATCACCTCAGCATGAGCTTTCATTTCTCTTACGCTTAATCCCGCCAACCGGCAGAACAGCAGCTGAGAACATTAAGCACATGTTTGTGACCTGGCAAGCGCTTGAAGGATCTCTAGCTCAGAAAGCCAAGCAGACCAGCAATAGTCAAAGAAACAGGTTGCGCCCGAACATTTCGTTGAAACATCATCACCTTACGATTTTCTGGCAACCACCTCCGCCAACAAACGCTGGTCCCGCAAGACATCTAATCAAGTGACACCCCAACTGGACGGCAGCACGCAATGACAACGAAACCTCACCACCTAAGCATGATCGTGCTTTCCAGGCGAGTTTCCCAGAGGGCAACGCACCGACGGGGAACTTGGTTGACATCTCATAAAGACAACTAACCAGAATGATGTGAGGGACCTCCATGCCAAGCAAAGATGGCAACTGGCGGGAAAGAACAGCTTGTAAGGAATGGTGCAACCCAGCAGTTACCCGATTCCGGCAAGAGTAGTTGTCTGGCAAAGGCGGGCGAGCCCAAAGAACAAGCTCCGAAGTTCTGAGCTCAGTGCAGATTCACCAAACCGAAAACTACACATCTGCAGGGAATGACAAGCTCCTGCCCAACCAAATCGCACCCCGACCAGTCCTTGTCATCGGCTCACACACGTGCAAGGGAAAGCAAGCAGTGTCATTCACATCAGCTAGCAGGGCATGCTGCAAAAAGCCAGACATGTTCAGACATGCGCATGCGAACTATCCTGTATCATGATCTAAACCTCTTCAAGCATGCAACCGGTGAGGAGCATGATCCAAACCACAGTGCCGCTCGCAGAGCTTCCAAACAAGCGCATAAAACAAAAGACACGTAATTGCGGGTGCTGCCTCAGAACGGGGAGCAGCATCCCAAGTTGTGGCCTGCCCAGCTTAGCCCCACTCCAACAAGAGTTGAGAAACAGCAAGCTCGCTGTCTTTCATGCAATCCTGAAACCGGGAAGCATGGGCGAACCAAGCAACGAGCAGCCACAATGACTTAGGCCACGGCATTAAGTAGCGCGAAGAGGCAGAATGCTACATGGATGCAGAAAACGTAGACCCACAGCCAGCTGATCTTCTTCAATGGCTGGGTTGCCTCAAACCAGGATAGCCCACCGGAAATTGACATGAACAAAGTGAGCGACGAAGATTGCAAGGTCCCAAAGTAGCTCCGTAGGCTCTCCACCACCTCTACATCGGGAGAGTCTGCCAGGTAGTTGCTGACAATGTCCACGAAGATCGCAGAGAAGACATAGTTTATAAGTGTCATCAAAAGCATGGCCCAAATCAATGCCTTCAGCGTGCCAAGGATGGACTGCACCAGCGTGCGTAGGGGCCTCACGAACCTCGCTATTCGAAGGACTCGAACTATGCGGGTTAGCCTGGTGAGCCGCACAACCCTCAAGATGCGCAAGTTGCTACTCATGCTAGTGGACTGGCTGCCACTGGCATCCCAAATGTAATCCCAAATGAATTCGTATATCACGCTGGCAACGACAAGTGTGTCGAACAAATTCCATGCCCAGTTTTTCTGACAATAGAACTCAGAGAGACCTGCGGCAATCATCCTCAGCAAAAGCTCCACGGTGAACAGCACACCGTAGGCTAAGCTGATTGCATAAATTGCAGTAGGCACGCTGGTGAACTTGTTCTCCGACTCCCATTGCAACACAACTCCTATGAAAATGGAGTTCGTAAGGATGACAACTGCAAAGCAGGTTTCGAACTGCCACGAGTTCACGATCTTTCCCACAAATCCTTGAGGTTTTCCCCCCTCGTTTGTGAGCACGTCTGTCAGGGACACAGACTTCTGCGATTTCACCTTCTGTGCTTCTGCCTCAGAGGGTGCACTCGCTCTCCGTGCCAGATCGTATGTCAGCGACCGTCTCCCACTGACCGTTTGCTCAGGCACCACACTTGGATCATTGGAGAGACTTGTATGAGGGACTATTCCCGCGGCTCCAGCCGCACCTGAGAAGTCACTACTCGAGGCATCGCGTTGACGCGCGCTGCTGCGCAGCTGGCTGCCCAGGGAATGTGCTTGGGAGGGTTCTGGGGTAGGACTGCCACTGCGGCCTTTGCCAAGTCCATCACGTTCCGAATGTTCCAGCAAGACCAAAAGCTCAGAGTAGAGCTGCCTTTGGGATTCTTGAAGCACGCGCTCCAACATCAGCGGGAAAGTATCGGTCATGGCCCAACGAGCAAAAAGGAAGCCGACGATAACTGCAGTAGTCTGTGACTCTAATGCTCGTCTTTGTACTAAGTCTGCTGTGTTCGGATCTACATGAATTTTGCACTGCGCGCCAACCAACACATTAACCAGCTCCGCATGTCTATGCAAACATGCAAGCCAGGTTGAAAGCAGCCATGCAAGTTACCCCACTCCCTGGCTTTCTTCCACCACGGTTCTGCAAGCAGTTCTTACTTGGCATGTCAGTTCTGCATTTGATGAAGACCTGCAATGAAGCGGCACTGCCATTGCTGCAAAGTTCCGCGCTCTGCAGAATCAAGCTGACTCCGAACTGTGCTTGTGCTATGGCCCATGACAAGCTGCGCCACCATTTTATTAGTCGTCTCAGGACTTTTGATGTACAAGCATGCACATGCTTTCGTTTTGGCACTACTGTACACGTGGAAATGCCCCTGGTCCAGCTGTAGTGTGCGGCGGACCTGATTGATGGGCCTGGCACGAATTTGGGATGCATGCCCCGTGGTGGGGGGGATGAGAAGCTCTCAGCAGCCCAAAGGATTTGGACCGAACGCGGAAAAACTGGCCAGGATACAACCAAAAGCGTCAAGCTGCCAGTGATGGTAAAAAAAAGTGAGTGAATTCGTGAATGTTTGCTCTGGCTGGTTTGCAGTAGGAAAAAGGGCAAACAAGGTCTGCTGACATCATGGCAGCAAATGCTTGCTCGTCGCAACTGCTACACCAGCAGCAAACAAAAAGCACACACGCATGCAAGTTGAGCAGCCACGCTCATGTTCAACTGTCGCCGGTATCTAGTTGGCAACTGCTTTGCTGCTCCGCGCTCTGCATGTCAGCGAGCGTCTGCACTAGGTGTTGTTGAGTAAGTGCTGTCTCGGTCATGTGCATGATCAACTTGTTTATCTGCCTTCGCAGCATGAACACATCAATGGCCTTGGCTGTGCCCCGCAGTTGAAGGCATCCCTCCAGGAACTCCTCGGGCAAAATCAGGTAATCCTCGTTGTGGTCAAGGCTCAGGAACAAAGTCCAAGCATCGGTGGCTCCCAGCTCGAGGGCCTCAAAAAGGACTTTGACTTCCTCATCCTGGAAGTGCTTCTCGAAGTGTGTGAGGGTCAGAGACCCGTTGCCTTCATCGTCCATCTTCTGAAACAGCTTGGTTAGTGACCTCATCAAACATGAATCAAGCCTTGAAAAACACAGAAAGCTTTGTCACCAGATGTGCTGCATGCTGGGCCAGGGACTGTTTCAATTGTTGCTTGTCCATGATCAAAGACTGCACAACCATTTCCTGATCTCGCTCCGCCCCCTTAATCGCTGATTGGCAGAAGACCTTAGCGTGGGCAGCATGTGTGCGCAACATTCAAAAAGAATCTCATAAAATTACGTGAAAGCAAAATCCGTTGTAAGTGTTGCTTGTTGTTGCTTTTCCGGCTGAAGCCCAAACCAAAAGTGCTGCCGTGCCTGCCCAGCTGCCCCTGTCATCACGTTTAAGACCTTGCGTAGCCCAAGGTGGAAACCCAACTCTTGCAAATCAAGCATGCTATCAATTCAGGCCCAGCAGCTGCGAAGCATGAAAAGGCTATGTAGGACGTGAACACATACACCCAAAGCCAGCTGATTTCGGCCAAAGCCCCAGAGGCATCCTTCCACGTTAGCCCGCCTGAGATTGACATGAATAACGTGTGCACGGAGATGTGCAGTGTTCCAAAGTACTTCTCAAGCTCCCCGGCACTCTCCACGCCCTCATTCTCGAGCATGTAGCTGTTGACGATATCTGTGAACAAAATAGCAAAAACATACATGATCAGTGCCAGAAGAAGCATTGCCCAAAACAGCGACTTCAGGGTGTTGGCTATGGAGAAGACTAGCGTCCGCAAGGAGCGGAAGAAGCGCACCACGCGGATGACCCGAAAGATCCGTGTCAGCCGTGTCATCCGAAGAACGCGCAGGATGCGCAGGTTGCTACTCGAACCGGAAAGCTGAGGGTCTTGAGTTACAACTTCTACAATGCACTCGAAGACTGCAGAGGCGACCACAAAAACATCAAACCAGTGCCAGCCCCAGTTGGCAGAACAAAAGAAATCACGCAAACCAAGCGCCAAGACTTTCAGGAGCACCTCCAACAGAAAGATCATTGTGTACGCCAACTGGACGAAGAACATGGCTGAGGGGACTTTCAAAGTCCTCTGAGAGGATTCCCACTGGATGGTGATTCCGATGAAGACTGAATTCGTTGCAATGACGGCTGCAAAGAAGGTTTCGAACTTCAAAGAGTTCACGAGCTCAAGAAGACTGGCTTGCGAACGGCGCAAGCAACTAACGCCAATGCTGGGCAACTCAGGAGCCTCTGACGAGGGCAGGGAGTCTCTGATGCGCTTGCTTGCCTGCTTGGCCAACTCATACGATCCTGATCTGTCCAGTGAAGTATCGCGAATCACTGGGGGCATGTTGGTGGAGTGCAGTGAAGCCAATGTCTGCATGCGCGAGACCATCTCGGATTCGCCCAGTGAGGGGCGTTCCTGGCGCTCTGCCAGCCCTGATTGAAACGTCGGCTCTTTCTCGATCTCTGGTGGCAAAGGGATGACAAGGGGCGGTGCCGCTAAAAGGTCTGTCCCCTGAGATGAAACCACTGAGTTCAGTTGCCGCCGCCTATCCAAAATATGTTCTAACTGCAGGAGTAGCCGCTGGTGATGTTTGCTTAGCAAACCATCCAAAACACTCACCAAGGATTCCTGATCCATGGCGCTGAGAGATGGAGGCATCTTTGGCCTTCTGAATGGCCAAGCTGTGAGCCAAAAAGCATCTCTGTCCTTTAGCGCAGAAGGTTTCAGCGGCTGCTTCCACAGTGACAGCGCGCAGCAACTTGATTCGTTCTGCGGCAACATGCGGCCGTAGTCGCTTGACACGGCCGCCTTTGTGCTAGACAAGATCAGCACCCCAGGCGTGTGCATGATGAGCAATGCACCGCAGCAAGCCAGTGACGAGGAAACATGCAAGTGGCAGCCGCATATTTCACCTTAAAGCACCATTTTCTCAGCCCGTCCGCAGCAGTCGCCACTCCTTGGGAAGGCCCTTGAATGGATCTGGTCCAACTAGGCCGTGCAGAGACGAACCTGACAAGTGTGATGGAAGGCAGCCAGCGCTGATGCCGCATCAGTAACTGCTCGTGGGCCTTCCCCGTACATTGCCAAGGAAGGCGAAGGATTGATCTCCAGCAGCAGGACAGAACCTTTGCCTGCACGTGCAAGCTCCAACAGCAACTTCAAAAGTGCCATGTACTTTTGCTCAGCCACAAGCTCTTCTTAGGCACTGGCTGTCAACCAGGAGATCTGCACCGAACAGCTCCCAGCAATTCCTTCATTCCCGTTTCCGTGATCTCACGATGACAGCACGCTCAGCAGCACGCTACGATAGTCTTGGCCCGGGAGCGGGAGCGCGAAGAGGTGCCGGCGCCCAGCAGCCCGTACGTTGGCCACAGTGCCGCCCAGTACTGATAGCACCTCCACCCAGCTACACTGCACTAGTCCGAACTGGTTCGCACGCAAACATGAAGTCTCTGTGCCAGACTTAAAGACTTGCCGAGCCATGGATGTGCCCCTCACAAGAAAGACCAGGCCATGCTTGGCCTGCTGGAAGAGAGGGTCCGCCAACTTCGGCCCAAGCGTCTGCAAATTCAGATTCTGAGCCGCCTCAGAATAACCTGGCACTTTGCTACGTGCAAGACTGGTTGTCAAATGCGCTATTGCCCATGCGACGGTCGCAAAAATCAAGAAATCAGCTTGACGCAGTCACAAGAATGTAAAATGCCCAACTGCCGTGCCTGGCAAGGCAGAGTTACTGCCCATGTTCGTGATGTGAACGTCCAGTCTTGTGCTGTCAGCACAACCATCCTCTTCAGCATGCATATCAACTTACGTAAGAGTCCATGCCGTCGAGGGCTCCTGGTACCTTGTGGTTGCCACGAGCATTCGGACATCGGTGTGCACAGCCGCAGTCCTTGGCAATCAGCGAAAGCAAAAAACAAGTGCTGCCAGGGAGGAAGCTTCAAATACCCAAAGCGCACCAAGCAAAACCTACGATAGATTCTTCATCCGTCTTTGCGATCACATTTGACTTGTGTTCCTTTGACGCGGGTTGATGACACAAACCTGGCGGCCAGTAGAAGCACCTGCTGCTAATTCCGGAGTATCGGCTGCCTGCCCTCAATAAAAATGAATCATGGGTCTAGAGCGGAACTTGAGACATAGGCGCAAATCGCCGACGCAGAGCAGGAGAGCCCTCAGATGGAACTTGCAGCCATTGTGCAAATACGGCTCGATGTTCCTCCAGGTTCACGGAGGCAGCCATCAAAGCTACAAGTATTTACGCCAACGCTGACTGCACACACGTGAGGCGCTGGGCCTCTGCAGCACCCAAACCTGCTGAGACAAGTGCGCATCCACGTGAGAAATAACGTCTATGTTGAAGGATAGCCTTCTCGTCTCTCTGCGCGTTTGCGTGAACGAGTTCATGCGTTCTCCAGGAAGTCAAATCTTCCCAAATTCGCCATTGCCTGTGAAAGACACTTTCCCAGAGCAGGACTTGTAGCACTGAGATATTCCCAATTAGCACACTGCAGGTGCCTCCTTGCCCAGTGTACAACTGCAGTCCAGAGCCCGGCCAGCATAACGTTCATGAGCCATGCGCCTCCAACAGTCTGTGTGCATGTTGTTTCAAGCGACGTGCATGCAATGGCAATTTGTTCTTCAGTGCGTCCAACATTTGTACCCCATAAAACAGAAGAACAACCTGATCATAATGTTGTGCCTTTGGACTGTTGGCGGCGAAGGGCTGCAAGCAGAAAGCACGCGCAGGCCGCAGAAACGCCTGCGAGCCAATACCTTGCCAGCTGAAAATGCTGGTCAACCAACAAGTTGTGTGAACTGACCCATGCCCTGCACAACGGCATTCTACAATGCTGAAAATCAGGTGTTTCATGCTGCGACGCTTGGACTGTAACTGCGCAGCCCCTGCACTTCTGTTTTGCATGAATCTGCTCCCTCTGAGCACCGTGCATGAAAGCGCCTGGGAGCCGCTTGGCTTGTAATAGCAAAATGGCCTCCCTCTCAGTCAAGAAGCGGATGCCAAAAGCATTCGATGAGTGGGCCTTGCCATCCCCGACACTGCGTCAACACTGACAGCAAATGTGATCATGCAGTCGTTGCGTGGCACACGCTGGAGCCAGTGTCTGTAAGTTCTAGAATACGAGTCGACAACCTACTGTTTGCAAGCTATGAAATAAACAAGGTGCAGCTGCAGTGCTTCTTTTATTTATGGTGATGTTTCGGACAGGGCAAAATTCGATGCATGAACAAACATGACGAATCCTGGGCAACTTTGCAGGAATGTCCCTTCTCCTCCTCCTACCCTCCGGCCGTTCTGCTTTTGCGCTTGCTTTTTACCTAGCTACAATCTACAATCCTGGCGTTGCCACGACGCTTTTAGCTTTCAGCTATGGTTGATTGAGGAGATGAGGCTCCCTGTGCATGAGCGGTTTCCATTCTGTGCCGCCCGCACTTTGCGGACAACAGTTCGAGCCAAGTTATCTCATCTTCAGCGCCCGCTCAGATCTAGCAAGCTAATCCCCTTTGCATCTAATTTGTACGCATGATTGCTGGCAGCCAAACCCGTTCATTTTCTAGCGCTCCACATTTGGGACTGCGGCCTTCTTCAGCACATAGTGCACGCCCTCAATATCTTTCTGCTTGCCGCAGCCCAGGGCACGCAGGCCAGCTTGGAGCTCCCAGAAACTGCGAACAATCTTCGTTGGCCTGAGCATGCTCATCTGGCTTTTTCACTGTATGGAATTTCTGCTTTCCGCAGCAGAAAATGAAATTTGGAGTTTCGTTTTGCACCCGCTTCATTGTCTCCATCGCTGCTGCCTGCATGGCATGCCAAATCATGCCGAGTTGCGGATGACATGCAGCGGGCACGAATGCAGCTAGCTTGTCTTTGCGGACGAGACCACTTCGAACGAAGTACCTTCCGGCTGACTGCCGGCCCGCAATCACCTCCTCTGACAAAGGATGAGTTGAACATTTGAGCAAGTTCAGAACTCAAGCTTATGCAGCGCTAGCAAAGTAGCTTGACGACAAAAGGTTATTCTCTGCCCTCCGCCCAAATTCATTCTGTCCTTGTGAAACAAATCAAAAATCAATTTACATTTTTTATGTTCTTTTTCATTTTTGGGGTTTCCGGGCATTCTGTAAGGCAAATGTGAGGACGTTCCACACAGGAGATAAGAATTTGAGCCGACATTTGAAGGCGTTCTACGTGGGAGCATGATTTAGTGTCGAGAACAAGAGTTTTCGAAAGGGACAGCATGCTAACACGGCGTAGCTGCCCGCGGCCAGGAACTTCATAAAGAGCTCGCAGCTCAACCAGGTGGTGGCAAATCCCTTGCTTGCCATAGTTCGCTTGAGCGCCTCATGCCATGAGCTGTAGCTTCCACGTGCGTTCGCCAAGCCTTGTAGCTCCACCCCCAAAGTTCAAAGCCTCAAAGCCAAGGACCCAGAGAAGAAGCGGCTGTAGGAGCTCCGTAGCCGCAGCATCAGCCCTCGCATTGAGCTACGTGCACGCTGTAACGTCGGACCATCCAGGAAGTGGCCACCGGTCCGGCTGCTTGTCGAGTGAATGGACCCAAACAACATCCAGGCAGTCATCTTGCCTAAATCTCCCAAAGTTCCTTCTCTGAACAATCGCCAAGTTGTCCACGACAGCCTTCACTTGCCTGGCTCAGGACCATAAACGCCACTCTTTCACCAGCAGCTGCAGTCCTCTCCTCGCTATGGACGATGCCGGAAACCACAGGGTCGCATCGGTCACGAACGACCACCGCCCATGAAGCCTCCCGCCACCCTTAGCGCTCCCCCGTCTGTAGCTGCCAGCGCCACATCATCCACCTCCGCCAGATGGGCGGCAAGCTTGCCCACCCCACCTGCTCCTCCTCGTCCAGCACGTGGTGGCCCCCATCCTCAACACGCAGCAGCCTCCTTTTTTTGGGTTGGCCTCAACCTCCCCGTCCCAATCGTCGCCACTCCTTGGAATAGGTGAGGATTGTCGCGGCTGGTAGCCATGATGGCAAACTCCGGCTCCAGGTCGACTACCGCAAAAAAAGCCCGAGCAAAAAAAAACAGAGCAGCCCGTTGCCAATGGTCCGTCTCGCGCAGCGGCCGCGGCCTGGGGCATCCAATCTCTGACGCTTGCCTTGGTGAACTTCTCGTCCACGGACTGCGGAAGCGGAACTTCGAGCTCATCAGCAAGCCTGGCAAGGGTAGCCGTGCTGACCGTCACATGGCGGATTTGCCGTCCTTTGTTGCACACCTCCTCAATGACGTCCTTATCCGCAAAATTCCGCAAAAGCCTGGTGGCCCGTCAGCCTGTATAGGTGACACTTAGGAGGACAAAGTCGGTTTGTGGGATTCCGCATGCTCCATCAGCTCCTGGATGCAGCTCAAATCCGCCGCCAAGTTGGCCACCAAGTTATATGGCCCTGTGTCCACAAGGTTCGATCGTCCAAACTCCCATCATAGCATTGGCCAGCAAAGGTGAAAACACACAGCCCTGCAGCAAGAAGAACAGTTGGCTCCACAGGTCTGCACGCGAAAAGCTATCGCCACGCAACGCTCTTGATGGTCGTAGGCCGGCCGACGGTGCAGGAGCGGCATCAGGCGCGGTGCAAAGAGCTGCGGACTTTGCTGGATCGCAGGCTACGCAGGCGGCAGCGGCGGCTTCTCATCAATGGCACGTTCGCCCGCTCTTTGCAGCAACTTCCAGCAAGGGCCCAGTGGCTTAACACGAAATTGGACGGGCTTTGAAATGAGGCTGCCAGGCTCGACATGTTGCTTCTTGGCGCTTTTCTTTTGGTTTGGGGCCTGACGCGGCATGCGGCTGACTGCCAGGACCAGGTCATCTTGGACGGGCACCTTCTGCGGCGACGAGCTCGCAAGGCTAAGGCCGAAGCGGGTGGCCTGGATGGATGGTTGGGCGCACTCATGGCAATGTTACGCTTGGACTTCTTCAGCCGCTTGGCTGACCTTTGGCAATCATTGAGGGCGGCAACCTCCCTGAAGCATTAAAAAAAGGCACATCCGGGTGGCGGACATACCAAAGCTGGATGGTGGACTGCGACCTTGGCTCTCATGCAGATGGCTTAGGCTGGTGCGTCTGAAATCCTGGCGCAGCTCAACTGGTGGCATGGGGCATGGATGCTGGACTCCCTGCGCGGTGAGGAGCTGGCGAGCAGGGATTGCGTGCCAGGGAGCTTGCCGGCCGACGCACAAGGTTGGTCCGACGACTCAAGGGCCGCTTGAGAACTCCGACATCACTGAGGAGGTCAGGGCTGCGGCTACCAAGATGGTCGAGATCTTGGATGTGAGCTGCAGCCAACGGTGTGACGCTGAGGAGGAGCCCCATGACGTTCAAGCGGCGGCGTGGCCAGGCAAAGCTTGGGCGGTTGAGTCGGCCAACAATGTCCCCGAGATCTTGGGCTACTTACAGGATGAGCGATTGGCCTTGGTAAAGGGGTTGGGGCAGCAGATGCCATGAAGGGCAAGTCTGCAGAAAATCGCGCGCTCAGCTCTTTGACGGGAAAGTGGGTGGCTGCTTTGGCCGCAGTGAATGTTCTGGTAATGTTCTGACACTTCAGGAGCAGAGGCAGCTGGCTTAAGACTCGGACACTTTCGGACAAGGCAACCTATGCTGCCTTTAGAGCGACGAGGTGGGAGTTTCATCGTGGAGCGCAAGGCCATGCTGCTCATGGCGCCTCACCAACATCCTGGTGCAGAGTGTGGAGTTGCCGAAGGCAGTTTGAGGGCAGGGTCATGGCGGTCAAGGGGCTCGCAGTGGGACAGCATGCTGAGCAACATGCTGCTACAATGGCCCCGCAGACGGTGAGCAGCTTCCTACAGCGCAATGACACAGAGAGTGC